AAGCTCAGGGAAAGTGAACTATCTATGTAACAAGCTGGGATTATATGACATATATTCTCCAGCTTGAGGGGGAGTGTTAAGATGTGCCGAATAGGGGTAGTTTAGTTTTCTTCTGTTTATTAAGTAACTTGCTTATGTGGCAGTGTTATTAGAGTGACTCTGCCCCACACTTAAGTAAGGGCATTTCGGTCTTTGTAAACATTATTAGAATCTAATATAGATTAAGGGGGTCGACTGGATGGGTTTACCATCAGATTTTCGACTGACCCTTCTTCTTCTTCTTCTTCTTCTTCTTCTCCTCTTCCTGTTCGGACTACTGTAGCAGCAGTCCAAACAGTTTCAATGATAAAATTGGCCCATAAACATTTGTTAAAGCCCATTCCAGTCCATCAACTCATCTTCTGAATTTCACTATAATCGTATAGTTACCAATTAATTCTTCTGTAGAGTCCAAATCCTCATTTTTCCAAATTGTCAAAATACCCCCTGAGGCCCCCCAAGACTGTGCAATAGACCAACTCAATCCTCTAGTACACCAAATACTTTTCACCCATCTCCTATCCACCTTTGATAGTTTTGATTCCTGAATCAACACAACATCTAGCTATTCTTTTATGAGCATTTCCCTTATCACTCTTCTTTTCCTGGAACTCCCCAATCCCCATACATTCCAACTAATAATCTTCATTGAGAAACAACTTATGAGCAACCCTAGACACCACCTTTTGCTAACCTGACTACCTTCCTTTTCTCCCAGAACACCTCTTATCATAGTCCACTTCACATCTCAATCCCTCCACTTGATTCAATTTCTTCTCCCTCCTTTTAGGTGTCCCTCCTTCAAGCTTTTTCTTAGATTTATCTTGTTCTTCCGCTCTTTTCTTTTTTTGACTTCTGTTCCTATTTCTCCTCTTTGTTGTTTTTTCACCCGTTATCACCCTTTCTCCCTCCCTCCCCCTTACCTGGGAACTAGGAACTATAGTGTCACCCTCCTGTTCCTTTTCAAAATTCTCCCCTAATTCCACCTCTACCAAGAGTCTAAAGATCTGCAAGATTAATCCCCAAATCCTTTCCCCTTCATCCACAATATCATTCAGAGCCTCTACATCCTCTAAAGCCTCTGTTACTTCAATTGAATCACTAGGACAGGCAGCTTTGGGAAGAGTGTCACTAGGATAGGCAGCTTTTGGATGAGTGCCAGCTTCACTTGCGGGCTGAGACAAAAAAAAAAAAAAAAAAAACAACTGGGAAGGGGGCAGATTGGTATCAAAAACTCGGGGAATACAAGAATCAAGACAAAATATACTAGAAACACCAAAACCTGAAACGTCACCAATTCTGCCTAGGTTCTGAGGGAGTTTGCTGGGAGAAGTCTCCTCAGGATCAACCTGTGTAGCACTAACAGAGGAACAGGGAGTGCCGGTTTCTTGGCCATTTGAATTAGAATCAGGGCTCACTCTAAATTTCAATGGCAGTGCCTTG